ATGTGAAGCCCTGGAAATAGCCCTCCCCCAAAAAGGAAAAATATGTAAAAATTTGTTATGTTAAATCGTCAGGAAAGCAAATTATAAGTGTCGAATCGGCGACACCCGACTTTGACGTCGACGCTCATCAAAAGTTGACGGAAAAACCAAATTTTAGATGTAAAAAGAAGAAAATTTAAAATATTAAAAGTTAAGACGCAGTTTAGAAAGCAAAACGAAACTAGAAAAAAAAATGTCTAGATGAGCGAAGGTGTCATAGTCAACAATTAAACGCGATCAGATTCGAAAAGATGGTGTCGGATAAACCATCTCCAGCCGACCTTTTCCACGAACTTAACGAAGCTCCATTTACACCTGGAGACAGGTGGATGGCCAATTGGAAAACGGTGATGTAAGATCTATCCAATTGACAAGGAGTCGATCGCAAAAATCCTATAAAAACGCAAAATTCAAGGACAGCGGGACTTTTTTACTTGATTTCTACTTCCACCAAGACTTCCACCTATACTTCTGTTGTATTCGTGTATCTTCATCTTTCGTGCATCGACTTTCGAGACATCGAACTTTTTTTTTTCTCAACACTGTCCAGGGGCCCCTACGACGACGCACCGGATCACCACCGAAATTCTCAACAACGCAAGACCAGCACCGAAGCCTGAAAATTGTGTAAGCATATTCGTCCGAAATAAACGGTTTACCTTTGTAAACACTTGTCTTTGCTGCCTATAAAAACCGCCACCCACATACGCTAAGACCTTAGACCATCCCGACGGTAGGGAATAAAAATCTCCCCCCCAATCGGCGTTCTTACAATAGGTCAAAAACAAATGACCCTCCCCCAAAGATTTATGCACTTTTGGACATATGACTTTTAAGTATCGATAAATGACAAAATATTCGGGGAGTTTTCTGTGTGTGGATGTTAGTATGTGTATGTTTATGTGTCTGTTTGTGGGGTGAACGTGTTGTTTTCTCCAATTTAAAAAATAACTCCTGGTCGAAAGTTTCCGAAATTTTGTAGGGTGGTTAGGGTATAAGGAAGATTGATGATATTAATCTTTTGGTAGTTAAAGGTCAAGGGGGTCGGGAGATAGAGTAAGTTATATGTCATATCTCGAGTGGGTCAAATTTTAAGATTTTATTCGTTATTAGCATTTATCATTTTATTTCTATTATAAAACTCATCCTTACCTTAACAATTAAGCTTTTATACAATAGTATAAAAAGTTTTTAAATAACATAACATAATAGTTGGTGCCACACAGTTTTAAGATCCATTATATAATGCCTTTATTCGATATTACACTTTGAAGAAGTGGAATACAGGAATATAAACACTTAAAGTATGTGCACGAACAACTCCTCTAAAGTCTTTAGAATGGTTTCACACCTCAATCTCCATAATAATCTTCAATTATTAAGTTCTAGGAAAGTGTCATGTCACCAATTAATTAAATTGAAAGACAATGTATGGATCAAAATGACCACATTTTCAGCATTGTGGTAAACTTGGATAGGATCAGACAAAGGGTTTAAGACTTTAGCAAACAGACAGACATATTGACGAATAGTACATTCTACTTTGTATGTATTTATGGATATTTTTACGGTTATTTCGAATGTAAAACTTAATTTGTTCTTGTAGAGATATGAAAGTATCTAACACAATGTTTTAACATTAAAATTTATTTTAAAATATACACAAAATAAACGTTTNAAATTTTAATTGTAATTTACAATAAATTGAAAAAATTTTAATTATAATTAAATATCTTCTTAGTCTTTTACATATGATGCGTTGAATCTTGAAAAACTTCCATCTAAATTGTTTATATGAAATTAGTTACATAAAAATTATGTTAATTGTAATTAATTACAAATTAATTAACACAATACTTTTAATTCTTTTTCAAGATTCGATTTATTGTAACCGTATAACCATCTCGCCGCTGGAGTTAATAATTCTTTTTCAACAGTTTTCTTTGGTCCTGTTGAGAAATGAATACAATTTAGTATTAAATCTAATACTTTTATAGCATAAAATACTATTTAAAGGTAAATTACCAGTAATTAAGCTGACAAAATAGCCAATAATTACAGTTAAAACAGTAGAGAAAACTGCAAACCACCAGTAAGATATTTTGTATAATGGAAATATATCTCTGAAATATTCGAAAATATTTAATATATTATTGATTAAGTTAATTAAAAATAAATATTTTTAACTACAAATCGTAAGTGTTTTAAAGATAATTTGAAAGTTTCAACGATAAACAATGATAAGTTTATTAGCTTTGCTTAAAAACAGCAAAACAATCTCGTGTTCCGATTGATACTATAAACAGATAAGCACGTGTAATCTTAATTCCACCCCCGAAAAGTGCTGAATTAAAATATAAAATATCTACAAAATAATTATATATAAGGGAACATTCTACTTATTTCATTTCTTCGTAAATAAAACTGCAGAAGGGTCCCTCTTTATCTCAGGCCCCATACGAGACCCTGTACATCTTGATCGTTTATTCTTTATCACAGCTCTAGTGGCTTCGTACACAATGGTAAAGGGATGAATGACAGTCTACACGTTCTAATTTATTACGTTTTTAAAAGTTTAACAATGAAACTTCCATCGAAATTCACGTGTCTTAAGAAGTAAATTTGCACCTCACCTCTCGTCCACGTATGTAAAATTATGACTTATTGTCATATTAATAGCTTGAGTTACGTTATCACATTCCATAATTGTCTGTGGTAATTTTGTAGTTTTGAACTGTGCTAAGTTATTCCCTATTCCTAGCCATAAAAACAGTACGCTCGATATAACGACACCAGTAACGGCACCCTGTAACGTAAAATAGAAGTTTTATGATCGAAATTTAGTTTAAAATTCACTGAATTTAGAGTTATTATACCTTCTCGTTTGGTCTAATGAACAGCATTCCTAACGTAAATACTCCAAAGATTGGTCCTCCAAGTACACTAAGAATGGTAACTGAAACTTGCATCAGAACGTCCAGCTGCTCTACCAAGTATGAGAGCAATATACAAGAAAGTCCATATACTAGCACTAAAAATAGCAAAATAGTTACTCAAGATAACATTTTTGTCAATTAGTTAAAGATTTTCATAATTAAAATGTAATTTACCTAAGATTTTCATTATGTAAGAGGCCTTAGATTCTGTTAAACGCCCGCTGCAACAATATGGTTTAATGAAATCTTCTAATGTTACAGCGGATAACGAGTTAACACCGGATGATATTGTGCTAATTGATGCACTAAATATACCAGAAACGCATAATCCCGGCAAACCTGGGAATTTTCCTAAAGATTGCATGACATAATATGGAAGTATCTAAAAAAATTAATAATATATCAGATAAATTTTTATATATACTTTCTAAATAGGTTGGGTGGAAAGTAACTAGGGTATTGAGAAATTTTTTACTATAAATTTTATATTAGTAAAGCAATCATAATGATATTTATGAGCACGTGTATATTAATGAATGCGTCTTTATAATTCTTGCATCATGATGTAGACAATAGCCGAGAGAGGACTTAGTACAGTAACATAAAATATGGCCGCTTGTCTATTCGGGAGAGAGCTCAGACTGATGCACGCTATGAGGTGTGAAAATCATAGCAATTATGCTGTGCAGAAGTGGTAAAGGAATGTTATGTCAGAATCCGTTCGGAAACAAATAAAAACTGTCATTCGAAACTAAAATGGCCACAGGTTCGAATACAGAAACACAGACAATTCGACGTCCATTCAAGTCACGATTTCTAGTGGTTTGAGGAAGTTGGTGAATGGCACCAGTCCGTACATTAAATTTTAAGGTATGAATCAATGTTTCCTCTTAGAATTTTACAAGACATATAACTTATATTGCATTTTGCTGGAAAGATGTAGAAATTATAATAATATCTTAATGCCTAGTTACTTTTCCCCCATCCTGTATATATTTTTTACTTTACCTGATCTGAAGCTGTAATGCCAGTTTCTTTAGGCCTCAAAATTGGATCACATTGCCCCAAGTTGGCGTAAATTACTAAACCACACAGAGAAAGTCCGAGTATAAATAATATCAAAACTGGTTGAGTTGCGTAAATAGATCTGTATAAATAAAAAACAACGAGAAAGGATTATAATATTGTAGGAAATTCATTTTCTTAATGGGAAATTAAATATTCCATTATACAACTCTGAATATTTTGATTATTTTTCAAATTAACGTAAATAAAAGTTTACTATATCGATACAGTCAAACCTTTAAAGAACGGACAATGACGGGAACGTGAAAAATGGCCGTTGTTTGGAGGTCATTTTGTATGCAATACGTGTAGTAAAAGAGAGGAAAAGCATAAATAAGAGAGGATTAACAGAGGAAGATATGGAAAACTGAAATACAAATACAGGGTTTAATTAGTGTACAGTGTTGGCTTCACTTAAATACAATAGGACTGTGCTGGAAAGACAGTTTTAGGGCACGTCGTGAAAGAAAATTAATAATGTTTTTAGGATACATTAAATATTATAGTATTTTATTATATGTGCATTGTATCAACTTGTTTTAAACACAATAGAATTTTGATAGATAAATATACTTACAGCCTGGATTTCTTGAGATTTCCAAGTGTCATCATCCTCTGTACTTGTGTTTGATTTATAGAATTAACAGCTAAATGGAAAAAAAATCCTCCAAACAGTAATGACCAGAATCCATACCTATTCGTTAAATCAAAGTCGAAACTGTAAAAACAAAACTCGAGTTAATAGTGTAATATCGATATTTCTATTGTACACAATGGTATAATAATGACTTTGGTACTGTTATTCTTCCTCCTCTTTCTGAAATTTTCCACATTTCACCGAATCCTCCAACATCCATACATCCTTTAACAAGTATAGCCATGACAGTGGTATACATTAAAATCACTTGAAAGACGTCTGTCCATACTACAGCTTTGATACCACCCTGAAATGATATATTAAATTTCAATTCATTGTATTTTTAAGTAATAGGGTATAATTAAACGAAGAAATTACCAGAGTGCAGTAAAATGTACAGACAATTCCAACAGATAATATGGATGCCCATAGTGAAATTCCTGTTACTATGCTTAAAGTTAGTGCTGGAGCATAGAGCACAACGGCACAGTAGAGTAACTAAAATTTTAAAAATGTTTCAATTATATATTCCTTCACATGTAATAAGGCATTAAATAGACTTAGTGGTCCAAGATCCACCACCAAAACACCATATAAAACACCAAAAAAATCTTACCGTTTGCAACATGAAAATAATTGTTGTCGTCCATCTAGCAAATTTTCCGAATCTTCTATTAATATACTATAAATTTTAATTCCATAATTAATAATTATTATCTATTATTTAAACATTTCAAAATATTTTAACTTACTTCATTAACAGTAATGAGTTTTAATTCGTAAAAAACGATATGATAGACATAAATTACAATGGGTGTAGCGATGAAGCTAACAAGGCATTGAACTGTTAGATGAAATCCATATAAATAAGTCTCTGATGATATTCCAAGCATACCAGTGGCTGAAAAATAACTAGTCATCATAGAAAAAGCTACTGGGATGACACCCATGTCTCTACTTCCAAGAAAGAATTCGTTAGTAGTCCTCTGTTTGCCTCCTGTAAATCGAAAATATACCCCAATCATTGCTGACAGGAAGAGCATTAAACTGAAGACAATGTAATCCACAACACCAAATATCACTCTCTCCATTTTCTCTTCGATAATGAATTTAAATAATCTTTTGCAAAGTTGTCTTCTTCCTGATAACAGTAATTAATTAAAAAATAAAATTAAACGGTTTAATATTTTCACCATAAGATTTAATTTTTTTCTTAAAGTTTCAATAGAGTGAGATTAATTTTAGAAGTAATTTAAACATAGTTTTATAGTGAAAAGTAAGTACTAAAGCATATAAACGTGCAGTAGCGTAACCAGATAGGTGCCTAGAGAGCTCAGGCTCTCTTACCTATGTAAGTAAATAAATTAAGTAAAATGGGTACAGGGGAAAAGATTTGAATATAACAAATACACTTATGCAAATGTAAGAGTTAACTCTTCATTCACTGATCTAGTGGATACACCCACACTGGTACAGGAGTAAATATAAGTTTGCATTCTCCTAATTCGATTCTAGTTACGCTACTACAAATATGATGTTTTCTGTACAAAACCTCAAAATTTTTGTGTAAATCCTTGATTCTAATTAATTTTTGGGAGTGACATTTACTATTTTCGTCAAGCAAGATTTCTTTTCTAACTGGTCTTTTCACGTAATGTACCCTCTTTTAAAATATTCTAACTGTTGCTTGTAGATCAGTGACTCAAAGAGACAGACAATTTGTTAAATCATTGAACGAGTATAACACAAGAACATAGTATGCTAATTATTTTATATAGAGATAAAAGCAAGTGAATTTAATAAATTCTCCTTTTCTCTCTCTCTCTCTCTCTCACACACATACAAACACTCTCTTTCTCTCTCTCTCTCTTTCTATCTCTATCCCCCTCTCTCTCACAGACACTGAAACTCCCCCTTCCTTTCTCTTTTTCTTTCTCACAGACACACAAACTCTCCCTTTCTCTCTTTTTTTCTTTATTACAGACGCTCAAACTTTCCCTTTCTTTCTCTTTTTCTCTCTCACAGACACACAAACTCTCCCTTTCTCTTTCTTTTTCACTCACAAAGACACACACACACACACACTTTCCCTTACTCTCTTTCTCACCCACACACACACTCAACTTTAAATGGTTCAATTCAATACTTAATTACAAATGTATGTTGTTCAAGAATAAAATTTACTCATATTACTCACTTATACGTATAAAACATTTCGTAATTCACACCTTATAATTAAGTTTATACAGTATTATTATTGACTTAAGATTGTTCTGTGTGTACGATACTTTCATTAAGTACGCAATGATAAGTCTATGAACGAAGATATTTGCTGTTATAGAATAATATAAATCTTCACCTGAGAATAATAATAATAAACTTTTTCTCTTATTTGCAATAAAACATATTTTACTTACTTCAGAAGTGAAATAAATTCTAGAATTACCGTAATACATTTGCTGAGGTCATCAGTTTAAGTTAGCAGTAGAAAGCGGACATGTAGGCCCTTAAAAGTGACGTTTTATGCGCTTAAAATAAGCTCTTAAATTTCGTCTTTAAGCTTTATAAGCAAAAAATAGGAGGTCAAAATTTGCACAATGAACAATTAACGTACTTATCAAGAGGATGAATTTTTTTATTTAACATATTCCAAACAAAAATGCACGTATTCAGAATGATGCAAACACAAAAGTAGACAAACAATTATTTTTACATTTTTTATTCGCTCTGTTTTCCCATAGTTTTATAATATATTACAAGCACTTTTTTCCAAATTTTCAATAGAAAAGTTGCAACGTTTGTCACCGAGAATTAATTTATACGCAGAGAAAGAGAATATAATCCGTTAACTTCAGTAGGCGTGGAACACATCTACTGAAGATAACGGACAATATTTCAACTTTGGAAGAAGATGAAGTGGGAATTTACTTTCAGTTTTGCTGTTCTTTCCTGCCAAAATATCAGCCATAATAAACAAGCACTTTAATCTGAGTCTCTTTCGAAGCATTGCTTTCAACTTTTTCTTCACTTTTTTTTTGCAGAAGTGCCTGGTGCATCACAAAGTTTCTGGTTTGCTCTGTTGAGGGGATCAATTTGTTCATACATAAGTATCCCACTACTTTCAAGAGCAGTAATAGTACAGTAGACCTCCCTATAATGTGGTAGATACGTTCCACTTTATAAGAATTTTACGTTGTAGGAATCCTCAAATACATGAACCAATCACAGCCCGGCACGTGTGAAGTTTACGTACTACGGCTGTTTGAAAGGTTTTCTTCCATAAAATTAATCGATTTTAGACTAATTTGACTCAACATTTCCAAAATACGTATATTTTTTTGGGAGTAATCCCTATAAACAATGCTATAAACAAAAACTTTTAGGATTACTTACCGAGTGTGCACCGTTCGACGTCGCCATTGCTTAAGCTTGTTTTCGTCGCGGAGCAGCGCAACAAACAGCGGCCGCGATTTCTGATAAGTTATTTTTCTGCGAAAAATTCGTTGACCTTTGGAGACATCATTAATATAAATAATTTTTATGGCCGTTGAATAAGAAATGTTTCTCTCACAAGAAATGTATAAAATTACAGTACTGTATTAGACTTACGATACCTAATTTACATACTGTACAGACGATAATAAACTCAACTTACCCGTCTAAACTCTCCGTAGCGTGTAAGTAGTTCGGCTGCTCGTCTACTATTGGTCCAGATTCGGCCAATCCTGTCGCGACAGGAGTCAGCGATGACGTTTTACCGCGTTTTACGCGTCCCTTTTAGCGTCTTTATACGAATACTGTCGCAATTTTTTAGCCACGTTAGGAACCTGCGTTATGGAGGGGTCTACTGTATCTCCAATGAACGTGAAATAACACTTGATGTACACAAACTTGTTCTAAACATAAATGTCATTCAAAATTTTCTTGGCTTTAGTTACACAAATTGCATTGTCTTCTAAAGTGGCCAGAAGTTTTTTGATATCGAAGAAATGTTCACTGTAATAATACAAAATCTTAGCCATGTGTATGCTAAGAAAAAAAATAGGTATTCGCCTAAAATCCACTGTTTATTTACCAGATTCCTTCTTATATTAATGATGAATAAAACTCAGCATTAACTCAATCCATTAATAATGTGATATACAGCATTTAACCTTCCTTTTAAAGCTTTATTTAAAAAAGGAAATTTATGTATTTTTATTATAAGCTATTATATTAATATATCTATTGGTCATTACTAATAGTTACGATAACTGTTACTCTTTCAACTTTATACCAGTCGACCCCCCTATAACACTGTTTTATATGAATTCCATGTTGTACGAGTCACTTAGGTTTTACAAATACGTGAGCCATTCACAGCCCGGTGCAGGTATTTGTAAAATCTAAGTGACTCGTACAACATGGAATTCATATAAAACGGAATAATCAACAGTGTTATAGGGGGGTCGACTTGTATAATGTAAAATTCTTTCCATAAGACATCTGATTCTGTACAATGCATTCAGATTACTATAAAGTCTATGATAATGTGGTATTATACAATGGTCCAATATCTATAAAAATGTGCTTTCATAAGGGCTTCTAAAAGCGCGAAGACCTTTGTCTTTGGAGCCGTCCATTAATTACACGTGCGATAGTTCATGGACCCCTAACATTGAAGGAATGACTAAAAAACATTCTGAGAGTATATAGTTTATTCACATGACTAGTAAGTAGGCTTATAATAGCAAATTCGCGTGCCACTAATGCTAATAAAAAGGCCATAAAGACAATGGATCGACCTCGTCGAGTACAATGTAATGTACTTTTCGCCATTCCCTCTTCCTTTTAAACTGTAATTAACTGACGGTTCCTACAAATTATGCGTGTTATCATGAATAATATGCAGAAAACCCGAAAATCAGTTAACCGAGTTACTTCATTAGCTAAGTTTTGGGTAATCCTTCACTTAATGATCGATCGATACTCATCGATGAATATATTAAACCTCTAAAACACAGTATTTCTTCACAGAGTATAAATTAATACCGAGTTGTCTGTATTTACAACAGTCATTCACCAAATTCCTTGTATACTGGCATTAGTAAATTACTTGACTAAATTAATAGTGGCATAAGCTGAATTGCCTGTGTATATAAACAATATAAACTGACCACATACAACCACAGAATGATAGCTTATACATAGACAATTATGATTTATACTTAATAATGTAAAGTATTTTATAAAATAACATTAATTTTAATACTTTTAAACACTAGAAATAAATTATTCCTCACCTGTCTTAGAAGGAAATTTTCAATTTCTATTAGAAAATAATTTAATTTTACAATTTAATAATGTTTAACTTAAATAAAACAGTACTTTATTATTCAGTTTATAAATTAAAAGGAGTATAAGAATCTATACTCACTCTTTAACCCCTTCAATCACTACTTGTGTGAAGATAACATATGAATATCGTTACATCGTGACGTATTATTCCTTTCCTTCTTACTTATTTTTATATCCTTTATACATTTATTTATTATATAATAATACGTTAATGTTATAAACATTCCTTTCATTTACTTCAATCGTATTTATGTTTTATTTTCACTACAATTGATTCAGTTACACAGCATAATGTTACAACACAAACAATGACAACTAAAACTAAAAATTACATTAGTATATTATATATATTTCATTTATAATTTAAAATATTCACGTATAAGACAATGTACAGGGCTCAGGACGATGTAGAAGACATTAATTTATATTAAATTGTCATCTGTACGAAGTGTTAGAACATTATCGAAGTTTTCTTTTATTTTTTAAGCACGGGTGAATAAGAAATAAATCGAATTTGAATTGGAAATTTCGAACTTTTAAACACAAATATTTATTTCCAATTAATAAACTGATGACGTCCAGAAATCTTTCTGTATAAATAATGGGGTTAATCAAAGGTTAGTTTATATCTTCTGCAAGGTTATCTACAGGCTGTGTACGTTAAAAGTCTATGGTCATGTTATTTATAATACGTTTAATTAAGTATATTTTAATAAATTTATATATATAATATTATTTGAATGTTTCAAAATAAATAAGAATTCAATTTCATAAGTCTTATATGTTATTTTTACTTTCCTGCCTGTTATATACAAACAGGAAAGTAAGGTTATATGTGAAGCCCTGGAAATAGCCCTCCCCCAAAAAGGGAAGATATGTAAAAATTTGTTATGTTAAATCGTCAGGAAAGTAAATATATAAGTGTCGAATCGGCGACACCCGACTTTGACGTCGACGCTCATCAAAAGTTGACCGAAAAACCAAAATTTAGATGTAAAAAGAAGAAAATTTAAAATATTTAAGACGCAGTTTAGAAAGCAAAACGAAACTAGATAAAAAAATGACTAGATGAGCGAAGGTGTCATAGTCAACAATTAAACGCGATCGGATTCGAAAAGATGGTGTCGGATAAACCATCTCCAGCCGACCTTTTCCACGAACTTAACGAAGCTCCATTTACACCTGGAGACAGGTGGATGGCCAATTGGAAAACGGTGATGTAAGATCTATCCAATTGACAAGGAGTCGATCGCAAAAATCCTATAAAAACGCAAAATTCAAGGACAGCGGGACTTTT